GTAGAGCAGGAGTTCACACAGGCAAGCTCTTCTTCACCATCCCACTCTCTTCTCTCACACCGTTAGATGTGTGTCAGCTGTATGATGGCTCTCTCCGGGGTTCCTGTTGGCTTTCCTTACGCTCTCCTGGATCACATTCCTGGATCGTTTTGTAATAGAGAGCCTAAGCCCCGCCCCTCCGCTTCCGGCTCACGGGACCTTCTTTCGGAAAAAATGTCAATGGCGAGAGACAACTTTTCTTTTTATTCCGCCTGAACTGTGCCCTGAATGACACATGTGATGTTTGTCAATTTAAAAGATCATTCTGAAAGTCAAGAAAGTCGCAGTTTGTCATAAAACAGAAGAGTAACATTTAGTTTTATGTGAAAATCGCTCAATGAACTACATCTCCCGGAAAGCGAAACAACGAGCGAGATCCGCTGCTCGTGTGTGTGCAGTCTGGTACAAAACACTCGATGACGGCGTAACGTTACGATTATAACGCAAGACTATAGAAACAATGACAGACGTTAGCTTCAGTAAAGTGAGCTTCAGTAAAGTGAGCTTCAGTAAAGTTAGTTTCAGTAAAGTGAGCTTCAGTAAAGTTAGTTTCAGTAAAGTTAGCTTCAGTAAAGTGAGCTTCAGTAAAGTGAGCTTCAGTAAAGTGAGCTTCAGTAAAGTGAGCTTCAGTAAAGTTAGCTTCAGTAAAGTGAGGTTCAGTAAAGTGAGGTTCAGTAAAGTGAGGTTCAGTAAAGTTAGCTTCGGTAAAGTGTGCTTCAGTAAAGTGAGCATCAGTAAAGTGAGCTTCAGTAAAGTTAGCTTCAGTAAAGTTAGCTTCAGTAAAGTTAGCTTCAGTAAAGTGAGGTTCAGTAAAGTTAGCTTCAGTAAAGTTAGCTTCAGTAAAGTGAGGTTCAGTAAAGTGAGCTTCAGTAAAGTGAGCTTCAGTAAAGTGAGCTTCAGTAAAGTGAGCTTCAGTAAAGTGAGCTTCAGTAAAGTGAGCTTCAGTAAAGTGAGCTTCAGTAAGGTTAGCTTCAGTAAAGTGAGCTTCAGTAAAGTGAGGTTCAGTAAAGTGAGGTTCAGTAAAGTTAGCTTCGGTAAAGTGAGCTTCAGTAAAGTTAGCTTCGGTAAAGTGAGCTTCAGTAAAGTTAGCTTCGGTAAAGTGAGCTTCAGTAAAGTGAGCTTCAGTAAAGTGAGCTTCAGTAAAGTGAGCTTCAGTAAAGTGAGCTTCAGTAAAGTGAGGTTCAGTAAAGTGAGCCTCAGTAAAGTGAGCTTCAGTAAAGTTAGCTTCGGTAAAGTGAGCTTCAGTAAAGTTAGCTTCGGTAAAGTGAGCTTCAGTAAAGTTAGCTTCAGTAAAGTTCGCTTCGGTAAAGTGAGGTTCAGTAAAGTGAGCTTCAGTAAAGTGAGCTTCAGTAAAGTGAGCTTCAGTAAAGTGAGCTTCAGTAAAGTGAGCTTCAGTAAAGTGAGGTTCAGTAAAGTGAGGTTCAGTAAAGTTAGCTTCGGTAAAGTGAGCTTCAGTAAAGTTAGCTTCGGTAAAGTTAGCTTCAGTAAAGTTAGCTTCGGTAAAGTTAGCTTCAGTAAAGTGAGCTTCAGTAAAGTGAGCTTCAGTAAAGTGAGCTTCAGTAAAGATAGCTTCAGTAAAGTGAGCTTCAGTAAAGTGAGCTTCAGTAAAGTGAGCTTCAGTAAAGATAGCTTCAGTAAAGTGAGTTTCAGTAAAGATAGCTTCAGTAAAGTGAGCTTCAGTAAAGATAGCTTCAGTAAAGTTAGCTTCAGTAAAGTGAGCTTCAGTAAAGATAGCTTCAGTAAAGTGAGCTTCAGTAAAGATAGCTTCAGTAAAGTGAGCTTCAGTAAAGTGAGCTTCAGTAAAGTGAGCTTCAGTAAAGTTAGCTTCAGTAAAGTTAGCTTCAGTAAAGTCAGCTTCAGTAAAGTGAGCTTCAGTAAAGTGAGCTTCAGTAAAGTGAGCTTCAGTAAAGTGAGCTTCAGTAAAGTGAGCTTCAGTAAAGTGAGGTTCAGTAAAGTGAGGTTCAGTAAAGTTAGCTTCGGTAAAGTGAGCTTCAGTAAAGTTAGCTTCGGTAAAGTTAGCTTCGGTAAAGTTAGCTTCGGTAAAGTTAGCTTCGGTAAAGTTAGCTTCAGTAAAGTGAGCTTCAGTAAAGTGAGCTTCAGTAAAGTGAGCTTCAGTAAAGATAGCTTCAGTAAAGTGAGCTTCAGTAAAGTGAGCTTCAGTAAAGTTAGCTTCAGTAAAGATAGCTTCAGTAAAGTGAGTTTCAGTAAAGATAGCTTCAGTAAAGTGAGCTTCAGTAAAGATAGCTTCAGTAAAGTTAGCTTCAGTAAAGTGAGCTTCAGTAAAGATAGCTTCAGTAAAGTGAGCTTCAGTAAAGATAGCTTCAGTAAAGTGAGCTTCAGTAAAGTGAGCTTCAGTAAAGATAGCTTCAGTAAAGTGAGCTTCAGTAAAGTTAGCTTCGGTAAAGTGAGCTTCAGTAAAGTGAGCTTCGGTAAAGTGAGCTTCAGTAAAGTGAGCTTCAGTAAAGTGAGCTTCAGTAAAGTTAGCTTCAGTAAAGTGAGGTTCAGTAAAGTGAGCTTCAGTAAAGTTAGCTTCAGTAAAGTGAGCATCAGTAAAGTTAGCTTCAGTAAAGTGAGGTTCAGTAAAGTGAGGTTCAGTAAAGTTAGCTTCGGTAAAGTTAGCTTCGGTAAAGTGAGCTTCAGTAAAGTTAGCTTCAGTAAAGTGAGCTTCAGTAAAGATAGCTTCAGTAAAGTTAGCTTCAGTAAAGATAGCTTCAGTAAAGTTAGCTTCGGTAAAGTTAGCTTCAGTAAAGTGAGCTTCAGTAAAGTGAGCTTCAGTAAAGTGAGCTTCAGTAAAGTGAGCTTCAGTAAAGTTAGCTTCAGTAAAGTGAGCTTCAGTAAAGTGAGCTTCGGTAAAGTTAGCTTCGGTAAAGTTAGCTTCGGTAAAGTGAGCTTCAGTTAAGTTAGCTTCAGTAAAGTGAGCTTCAGTAAGGTTAGCTTCAGTAAAGTTAGCTTCAGCAAGGTTAGCTTCAGTAAAGTGAGCTTCAGTAAAGTGAGCTTCAGTAAAGTTAGCTTCAGTAAAGTTAGCTTCAGTAAAGTGAGTTTCAGTAAAGTGAGCTTCAGTAAAGTGAGCTTCAGTAAAGTTAGCTTCAGTAAAGTTAGCTTCAGTAAGGTTAGCTTCAGTAAAGTTAGCTTCAGTAAGGTTAGCTTCAGTAAAGTGAGCTTCAGTAAAGTGAGCTTCAGTAAAGTGAGCTTCAGTAAAGTTAGCTTCAGTAAGGTTAGCTTCAGTAAAGTTAGCTTCAGTAAGGTTAGCTTCAGTAAAGTGAGCTTCAGTAAAGTGAGCTTCAGTAAAGTTAGCTTCAGTAAAGTTAGCTTCAGTAAAGTGAGCTTCAGTAAAGTGAGCTTCAGTAAGGTTAGCTTCAGTAAAGTTAGCTTCAGTAAAGTGAGCTTCAGTAAGGTTAGCTTCAGTTAAGTTAGCTTCAGTAAAGTGAGCTTCAGTAAGGTTAGCTTCAGTAAAGTTAGCTTCAGCAAGGTTAGCTTCAGTAAAGTGAGCTTCAGTAAAGTTAGCTTCAGTAAAGTTAGCTTCAGTAAAGTGAGCTTCAGTAAAGTGAGCTTCAGTAAGGTTAGCTTCAGTAAAGTTAGCTTCAGTAAGGTGAGCTTCAGTAAGGTTAGCTTCAGTTAAGTTAGCTTCAGTAAAGTGAGCTTCAGTAAGGTTAGCTTCAGTAAAGTTAGCTTCAGCAAGGTTAGCTTCAGTAAAGTGAGCTTCAGTAAAGTGAGCTTCAGTAAAGTGAGCTTCAGTAAGGTTAGCTTCAGTAAAGTGAGCTTCAGTAAAGTGAGCTTCAGTAAAGTTAGCTTCAGTAAAGTTAGCTTCAGTAAGGTTAGCTTCAGTAAAGTTAGCTTCAGTAAGGTTAGCTTCAGTAAAGTTAGCTTCATTCATTGAGAGAAAATGTGCGCCTTTGGGGTTTGTAGTCTTTGTAATTACGTATTTTCACAGTCTTATACCTCAACAGTTTTACATCAAACTGCGACTGTCTTGACTTTAAAATGTATCTTTTAAATTGACCAACATCATATGTGTAATTCAGGGCACAATTCAAACGAGATCAAAATATGTATTGTCTCTCGCCATAGACTACCATATAATATTTTTCCGAAATAAGGTCCCATGGTGGTCGACCGGAAGGGGAGGGGCTTAGGCTCTCTATAGACAAGCTCACTATTTTTAGGTTTTTCTCTGGGCTCTTCTGAGACTTTATTGTTTCTCTTATGTCTCTTTAATGTAGTGTGTGCTAAGAAGTGCTGGTGGTGGGTCTCTTTTCATAAATTGCTTTTTGCCATGAATAGAGCGCAGAAGGAACACACAGTTATCTCAAGTGGCGCTTAATGCATTATTTATGGAAATATCACGATGTAACTTTTGAGGTTTACCATCATGAGAAAAGCACACGCCGAGTTCAAGAGTGCTTTAGATGATATTTAGGGTAACAATAAAGACAGAAAAAAGAAATATAAATTTTATATATTAAAATGCATGGAATAAAATGAATGGAATTAAATACAGGTGAAACTCGAAAAATTAGAATATGGTGCAAAAGTTCATTTATTTCAGTAATTCAACTTAAAAGGTGAAACTAATATATAATATAGACTCATTACATGCAAAGTGAGATATTTCAAGCCTTTATTTGTTATAATGTTGATGATTATATAGCTTATGAAAACCCCAAATTCAAAATTAGAATATTGTGAAAAGGTTTTCATAAGCTGTAAACCATAATCATCACAATTAAAACAAATGCAATCTGTACATATCTGATATCTGGTGGCATTATTGCATAATATCGGACTTCTATCAGCTTTCCTGAATATCCAATCGTGCAGAAACTGAACTATTCTTCTTCACCCATTAAGCTTAATAGCTTTTTCAGGAAATGTAGTTCAAATGACTCATAAAACATGGATTTTATTAACTCCCTGTATAGAGAGAACATTGTAAAGCTGTAATTCCTGAGGCAGAATCCACA